TTCTTCTTTTTTGGGTGTAAGAAAAATACAAGAGTAACTGCACAAATGCTGGTTTCATTGCTGAAACTTTCTTCCTAGAGTTCTATGCAAATACTAGTTATTGTAGGGTAAGAGCAGAAAATGATTCTCTTATCTAATCATAAAATTTTTGGTAGTAGAACTCTCCTAAATCTCTCTGACAAAGATAGTAGGTTTCATTTAAAAATGTTTCCTGTGCTTGCAAAGGATAAACACAAAGAGCGCAAACGTTTGTTCTGATTATTTTTGTTTCTGTATAAATACGTTTCTATTTCCAGGGCTTATCCTGACTTACTCACAGGCACACATGCTCTGCGTTTATCCTTTTGAAAGAAATAAATGGAAGACATGTGCAGCACTTACACCTCCAGAGTGCCAAGTCAGTGCTCCTGTTCTTTCCGGAATTGTATGCTTATTTGGGCTGCAATCTTAGGGCAGACATGATATCTATGGCATTCCTGTTAAAGATGACAGAAAAAATTGGGCCCATAAATTAAAGACACTTTGGGCCTACAGTCTTTTGATTTTATGTACGTTCTACCACCCCAAGTACTTTCTCCAAACGTAGATCCAGCCGGCGTCTCTGGCACTTTTTCTCTTCTCCTCTCCCAAGTCAGCCAGCCTGACTTCATAAACTTGAATCTGGACTTTGAGAAGCATAATGATCCTTGACATAAATCTCAGATGCATGTTTCAGAGTAAGGTAACTCAACCTTCTATCAACTATTCTTTTGTCAAGTCCTTTCTTCTCTTGGAAAAGCAGCTTTCTTTGCCTAGTGAATGGAGGTAGTAAACTTGTACTTTGCCTGGAAGGTAAAGTCCACAGTGGGGTCTGAGACCAAAGCCCGAAGTCCTCAGACAGTGTTATGGGAGAAAAGAACTACTCGAGCCACCTTGAAACAGGCTCCCTCTGCCCCTCGAGAGCCATGCAGAAGCTCTCTGGGAGTGGTGCGTGTTAATCTTCTCGTGCTATATTCATGCCCTCAGTGGCTGGCCCACTACCTGGCACGCAGTCCTGATTCACCCAGTGCTAGCTGAAGACCGAGGAGGCTGCTCTAAGTTCTATGCCAGCTGATTGGGCACCATTTGACCCTTGATATGAGAGATTTCCTGAAGGAATTCATGGTTTCTGGTCAGCGTAATAAAATATTTCTTCTGGGGGTGGTATCAGTGAAATAATGCTGAAGGTTTTTTGTGTGGATTGAATGAGAAATGTAACTTCAACCATCCAGTTTAGTGAAACTGGGGCGAAGAGTCAGCCCCAAGACTGCTTCCACCCGCACAGTGACTTTGCATGGAGACATGAAGGGATTGTGACCTGAGGGCCTTTTCCACATGTGAGCAGTGAGCAGCACCTGTTCTCCCTTGTTCAGTCATTTGTAATGAAAAGGGACAGAAGGGAAGGGAAGGTCCTGCACACGTAAGCACTGTGGTGTGCATGGAGTGCCTGAGGTTTTTAAGTCCTGACTTTGACAACTATGAGCTATGGAACTTAAGCTCTGTAGGACCCAAGTGGTAGACTCTATATATGAAATAAAGGGTTTGGTTAGTGTGTTTTTATCTCTTTGCTGTTAACATTGATGGATTTGTGGAAATCCTCCTAATGTGCACAAAAGGTTAAAATAATCATGTGTCTATAATATTAGACCTTATGAATCCTTGCACCAAATTTTCTGTTCATCTTCTGCGTAATGTCAGAGTTGACATAGTTTGTTCCCCTCTCCTTGTATCTCAGGACTTCATCTGTGCATGGCAATGCTCCCAGCTCTGAGTAGTAGTTCTCACCTCACTGCTAGTGAGTTCACTTCCCTTCTGTTCCTCATTTGGTGAGATTGGAGGATGAGATAACTAGAGAACAACGTGGGCTTCTGCACACCTTGCTGTAGGCTTATGTGTCAGCTTACCTTCCTAGTACATATGTGCATGAGAATAAAAAAATATTGGCTTTTATCTGAGAATTTCTGAACTCTGTGATCATGACTACTTCAGGCTCCTCATTGAAATAAATGTCATACGTATGGTACATGGAACACCTGGCTTCTTCCTACACAGCCCTTTCCATAGAGGAAACCGACCCCAAGAAGTAACCTGCACAGGTCACAGTGATCTGAGCAGAAAAAGGGCAAGGTTCCAACTGTCTTGGCTGTTGGTTTGGTTACTGTACTGGGAGTTATGCACCAAGAAAGTGAACCTGGGTGCTTGTGCATAGCTCGCGCTCTCTATAAAATATGCCCTTTGATTTGTATTTTCTACTTTTCAAATAGAAACAGATGTGTTCATTTTATTTTAACTGTGACATTTTACAGCACTTAGCACTTTTAACCGAGAAGTAGAATTTGAGTAAGGGCATTTGAGTCCTTTAATCACTCTTTGTGGTCCTGGCAGTGTTTACTGAAGATTTATTCTGCATTAGCCCCTTGGGAAATGCTTACATAGATTATCTTAGTTGGACTCTATCATCAGTGCATGGTAAACCTTGGATGCAGTCAGGCAGCCTAACGTAGCTCTTGGCACATGGTAGAAAGAAGAAAGAGTAGATGTCTTTGTCGATGACACGTAGACTCCAGGATCGCCTAACGAACGTGGATGGGCTGCGTGCCTTTGTGTATTCACATGGCAGTATAGTATATCCCTGGGAAGTACTTCCTTGTAGCTGTATACATGTATCCACATGCATAGATTTACATATACATAATGTCCAGATACTTCTCCCTTTTTATTTTAGTTGTTTATATCAGAAGATTTTAGCTCTGCTATTCATTAAAGATTCTTTACAGAATCTTGCACATAGCTGTTCTATGAATGCATGTTGAGTTCATTCTAAGTCAAGTGGCGCTGAGATCAGGACCTCAAGGCCCTGGTTCTTGTGATCTCTGGGGTGGCTCACTGTGAGGCTGATGATCCTCTTGGAGGCAGGAATGCTGTGAGTGAGCAGGACCGGATTCTGCAGCAGTGTGCTTAGCGGAGGCCAGTGTCGCACCCCAGCCTGTGCAGCTGCGTGGCTGGCACTGTCTGACCTCGTCGGGAGGATGATAGGGCGTTGCTGGGATCTTTGTGCAGCACTGCTGTTCCTTTTGTGTCCCCTTGTACTCTCATCACTGGGAGGCTTGTGGCAGATTCCTTGCTGGGCACAGTAGTGTTCTGAGCATCCACTGAAGGCATGTGAGAGTGTTGTCCCAGCAGGGCTGTGGTAGGAAGTGGAGAGTCAGGATTCCTGAATGGGAACAAGGGTGTAGTGAACAAGGGTGTAGTGAGCAGTCCTTCTCTGGAGACTCAGTGCATGCACAGGAGTGCTTAGGAATGGGGGGTGGGTGCAACAGGCACCTCTACAGGCTGGCCAGATGGCTCATCGGTGTAAGTGCCTACCTGGCAAGCGCAAGGACCCAAGTTCCATTCCCGGTACCGCATGCCTATGCCTTGCCAGCCCTGAAACCCCGAGCTTGCTGTGCTGACCACCAAAACCCAATGTGGTAATGCGTGCCTGGAATTCCAGCTCTGGGGAGGCTGAGACAGGAGAATCACTATGAGTGCTAGCAGTGTAGCAAGACCCTTTACCAAATAAACACATAAGTAAAGGATTTTTTTAAAAAGATGGCCAGACAAATGAGGTGACAGGAGATATGCCATGCATGTAGGACGCAGTCTTATCTCACAGTCTGACTTAGTGGCTCAGCGTTAGCGCTCAGTAGCAGAGCCCTGGCCTTGCAAGCTGCCTGGCCTGCTGCACAGCGGAGAGTGAATGCGCCCAGGAGGTAGCACTTCTTAGAAGCATGGGAACCTGGGGCCCTGGGTTGTTGGCCATAAGCCTGTTCACCTGACCTAGTCTTGACTAGTCCTGCCTGTACCGGGAAACACGGGTTGCACAGCCCAGAGAGCTGAACTTAGGAGTACGGTGCTCTCGCCATGTCCCTTGCTGCTGCAGCAGTGCCCCATCGCAGTCCTGCCTGGAGACTCTCGCAGGCTCTTCTCGCACGGTCTTCTTAGGCCCGTGTGACCATAGTGTTGGAATGTGTTTACAGTGCCTACGTGGTACCAAACCCCAAATGCTCAGAAAAGAAGCTTTTTATAATTTTGTGGCTTAGTTTGGTATAACCTAAAACCCAGGATGCTCTTTATGTTTAATCTACACCTCAGCTGGTGGGAATATTACATTGGGTTACAGAGCGCCTCACCCTCCCTGCTGGGGCATCTGGACGGGCGGCAGACTCCTCTTACTGCCTTCCCGAAATGGGAGGAAACCTGAATTCCAAAGACATCCAGCCCGCAGGATTTCAGAAGAAAATTTTTGTACTAATAATTTGTTTTCCTTAAATTTGAAGGTGTTTAGCCTTTAGGAAAATGAATGTTCATTGATCCTGCTTCTCTTAGCGGAAAACGGGGAGGGGAGAAGCAAAGTGAGCATAAATAGTGACCCTTACAGAAATGATGGCAGTGGCTCTTTCAGGCCTGAGTCCACTACGAGTGGATCCTTGGAGGACAGAAATCCGGATATGTACCTCTCCTGCAATTAAAAATAAAAGGCGGTTTCACAGTGCAGCTGCATCTGGCCTGTACTGCGGTTTGAGAGCGACTTGCAGATCCATAGCGCCACCTTTCTTCCATGCGTGGAATTGACCATGCACAGCGCCCCCGCTGGATGATTTTCAGGCTTAATCCTTCAGATTGGCCCGACACAGCAAGAAACAGTTCCTTCACACTCAAAACATAAAGAGCTGCAAAGAAGACAAGAAATATCTTCTCTTCTTTCTGGTCCCTCAGTGGTTTAGCTGCTAGCCTCGTATGACATTAGGAGTTGTGATCCTTAAACTCTGTGTTTAATTAGATGGCACTGCATGAGACATTTTATACACTAGATGCTGTAATTTACAATGTGTTGCACTGCAGAAATTTTCTAAGCTTTTTACTGTGTTCTATTCTCTTAGCTTCTGAGACTACAGAGTAGAGGTACATGCTCAGCTCATGTTTTTCTTTTCAATTTGCAGTTGCAAATCAAACATGCAGTTACAGAAGCAGAGATTCAAAAATTGAAGACCAAGGTAAGCCCCAGTACATGGTGTTTGCATTGGATTCCTTAATTTCGTGTACTATGAATAAATTCAACCATGGACCTAAAGGATTTCATACTGGCCTTTAGAAGAGCAAAATGTGGGCAAGTGGGCTCCCGGGATGCGCAGACAGGCCTGCCAGTGGGGTCAGGCCTCTCGTGCAGTGTGCCTTGGTGAAAATCCTAGGGGCCTGGGGCTGCACCTGTGTGTACGTCCTGGCATGTGTGTGGCTGTGGCCCTCTGAGATTTCTTCAGAAAGCAGTATTATTCATGGCTCAAGCATCTCGAAAATGTTTTAGTCACGAATTCCTTATATTTGTACATTGCTTTTTATGAAAGCAGTTTCTATGAATGTTTTCATAATGATTTCTATGAGTTAACTACTATAAACTTAATGTAATATGTACATAACTGATTTTAGGGACCAGTCACCCCTGGAAAATTTTAGACTAAGTGACATCATTTAAATTTGTGGGGAGAACAAAAATATCTTGATGAAAAGGAATATATATTTTAGTCTGTGCATATCAAATAATGCAAGATTCAAAAGGTCATTTTAATTGGTAAATTACAAAGTACTGTGTGAGATACAATTCTTGTAATTGTGTTTAGTTTTATCAAGTCTGTAATTTCAAAGGTAAAAATATCTTAGAATTACTTTCAAACAATTTTTTTATTGTTCCTGTGATTTTTTTTTTTAAATTAAGACATAATTACTTCTTCACTATCACTCCTGTTTGGTTCCACATGGAACCTTGTTTGGGATTTTCCATGTGTTTTAAGTGGAGATGAATTATCAGGGCTGGTTGGCTACAGGATCTTCGCAGCCAATGCGCTCTAGAGCTCATTGGGTAAATCGCGCCTGTATGGCCTTTCTCACATCAGGCTAGCACTGTGAGTAGTGCTTTGTAAACTAGAAGTGGTTAGTGAATAAATAACTTGATACAAACGCAACTTAATAAAAAAATGTGGTAAAACCCTAGCCCTGTTTTAAATTGTAATTATTCTTGACATAGAAAGGAAAATTAGATATTTTTTGAAGTATTAGTTATATGTAAGGGAAATGAATCCCCTCAAAGTGTAAATGCTATAATTGTACTTATGTATTAAACTTTTTTTTTTTCTTTTTGACGGAACCGGGAATTGAACTCAGACCCTTGTGCTTGCCAGGGAAGCGCTTATTCTACTGAGCCATCTCCCCTGCACTCATAAACTTTATCACTTTAAAAATACTATAATTTGATATTTTACATTTTTATTCCCTTGGCATGACATTCACAGATTAACTTATTTACTGTGATTATTATTCAAGATGACAATAGAATCCTTAATTTCAGAGTAATTTCTGGGTAGTTCTTATTTGTAGTCTGTTTTACAAATGTATTTAGTTCAACATTTACATAAAACATTCCTGCATGCATCACACATTCATGTATGACAAAAATATTTTTATTTTTGAATACTATCTAATTTTGACTGTCTTGATTTTTAAACATCAATAACATGTAGCACTGCTGAGCTTTAAAAAGGCATGGGCCGTAGGTAAGTCACTAGGGTGACGGCCTGGCAGTTTTCCTGAATAAATGACTTTTAAACTCTCATCTAAACAATCATTTTAAATTTCTGTTAAAGTGAGAGTGTTAGACTATTACGCTATTTATAAGATTGTCTATAAATAGGTAATCGAAACCACAAGTTATTGAAATTAATCAAGTAACCATATATATTTTTCTTAGTCTATTTCCTGTACTTTTGTGAGAAATTAGGTTTATGAAGATCTAGAAATTTATAGTGGTGCTGTAATGCAAGCTACAGACCATGCTCAGGTCAGTCGAAATAACCTAGTGAACCTATCAAAATGGTTAAAAGCAAGTAAAAGCTAACAGTTCCTAGGTTTTTTGTTTGTTTGTTTGTTTGTTTGTTTGTTTTTTGCAGTACTGGCTATTGAACTCTGGGCCTTGCACTTGCCAGGAAAATGCTTACTCTCCTGAGCCACCTCCCCAGCCCCCCAGGTGGTTGCTAGCATCCTGATGAGTCACATCACAGTTCTGTTCTGTGGAGGGACTCAGTGACCTGGAGAAACTGAACCACTCCTGAGGGCTTATGAGCCCACGATGGCAGGAGGAGGATTCAGATCAAAGCTGAATGACTCCAGTGCCTCCTTCTCACCCGTAGCCGTCTTCTGGTTCTGCCCCTTCTCTCCTTGTCTCTCCTTTCCCTTTTCAATTAACTTTTCTATCAAAAATGCTGATGTTCATCAGGTTTGGTAAGACTATCAAACCTCTTTTACTGTTGACAGAATTTCAGACTTTGTGGTGTGAATTAAAGGCTCACAAAATTGTAGCAAAGGGGGGCCAGGGAGATGACTCAGTAGAATAAGTACTTGCCTGGCAAGTGCAAGGGCCTGAGTTCAATCCCCGGTTCCGCAAAGAAAAAAAAAAAAGAAAGAAAAAAAGAAAGAAAGAAAGTTATATCAAAGAAGCTAGAATCAAATTTATGTTTGGTAATTTATCATATATATAATTTAGGGCATATCAGTTCGGTTTTCAGGGCTTGCATCTTGTAATCCATGGAATTACAGAAATAATACTTGCTTTTCTCATTGCAAGGTGTTTTGATGGTTGGGTGTATAAGACAATGGGATTTAATCTGAAACATGCTGTTAGAATAGGAAAGATTTTTGCTACCAAGTTATCCAAATTACTTTTGTCTTGATACTTGATTTCTCTAGCTCCAAGCGGCAGAAAATGAGAAAGTGAGGTGGGAGCTGGAAAAAACCCAACTCCAGCAGAACATAGAAGAGAACAAAGAAAGAATGTTAAAATTGGAGAGCTACTGGATCGAGGCTCAAACTTTATGTCACACGGTGAACGAACATCTCAAAGAGACACAAAGCCAGTATCAGGCCTTGGAAAAGAAGTACAACAAGGCAAAGAAGTTGATCAAGGATTTTCAACAAAAGTAAGCTCCTTTTGCAGAACATTTTCTTGTGTGTTCAACATAGTTTTGGTCCAGTAATTTTGTAATATCATGGGTGTGCGAGTTTTATATTAGCACAATTTATAGTATCTTAGGAACAGCATAATGCCCATCAGCAGATGCCTGGATAAAGAAAATGTGCCATGTGTACACACTGGAGAATTACTGGGCTGTAAGTAACATTCGTAGACAGAGGGATGCAACTCAAGAAAATAATGTCAGACATACAGTGTAAGTAGCCCATAGTTTCTCTTATACAACAAATCCAATACATGTGGGGGCTAGGTGGAGAGAGAGAGGGGGTGGGAGCAAGACAGGATAAAGGGGAAGGAAGGAGATCTCTCTCAGGTGGGTGGGGCTGAGGCAGATGGGGCAACGAGTGGTGGAGTAAGGGGAAGGAGGGGAACAAAGGCAAGAGGATATTATAATGAGCATGGAGCTTTTCAAGTAGAGAGGGAACCAGGAGTTGGAAGAAGCAGCGCGGGAGGGAAGAGAGTTTAAAAAATTAAGATGCATTGTGGACGTGTTCAACAGCAGCCTTCCTCAGCTGCAAACATTGTGAATACTGAGGAGCAGGTGCCTCCTCCCTCCCTGCTCCACCGCATCTCTCACCTGTTGGCAGACCCACAGGGCCCAGTTCGCACCTGTCTCGTACTTTCAAGCTTCGACAGCTCTCTCTGAGCTCCGGCTACTTTGCTTTGTTTCCATCTCTTGGATCTTAGCATCATATTGAGGGAAATAACCAGGGAGGGTTTTACTAGATTTTTTTCATCAGTTATTTCTGACTAGCTAAAACAAAAACAGAGTGCCAAAACCTTTTCTAAGTCTTTCATGCTAAGCCTTAGAAGCTGTATATGAGATACCCTTGTCTCCATTTGCTATATGGAAATAATACTTTTAATGTTTAATATTTTAACATAAAAAGTGTTTTTCTTAGAAAGGAGTAATTGGGGCTGGGGAGATAGCTGAGTAGAATAAGCGCTTGCTTGGTAAGCACAAGGACCTGAGTTCAATCCCCAGTTCCTTTAAAAAAGAAAGAAAAAAGAATAATTGCTCTTTGTCACTGTGAATTCCTTATGAGACTACTATAATATTTTAACTTTTTGGAAAAAAATCATGCCTCTCTTCCATGTAATAAATTTGCAATATAATCTTGCAACATTTGCATGTTGTATGCTAGACTGTCATAGTGGAGGATGTCTTCTTCCCACCAGGATATGAGTAGTGTGGGAGTGACGCTTCTCTCAGAGCTCCTGGCCCTTCTCCAGTGTTGTTACGAAGAGATCAATCTGTAATTATCCCTTTCAACACTTACCATCTGTTTCTATCAGTTTATTTACATTCATGACAATGGAAATATGGACGTGTTTCTACCTGACAGACTTATCTCTGCTGAGTTACCCAAGACGGGTGATTAGTTATCTAAATGGGTATGGATGCTCTAGAATCAGAATCCACAAGCGAAAGTCATAGTAAGCAGAACAGAAACATTTTTATTTACTTTGTGTATTAAGATGTTTATTTTCTTTCAATCTATAAACTATGATTGAGGTTTGCTTAAACACCTGTCTAGTTGTTTATCCCACCATGCAGCTTATTGCTCAGATTGAAGCTTTTCCGTTTCCTCACTGAGTATTCACTACAATCAAATCCGTTATTCTTTTCCTTAAGAGAGCTTGATTTCATCAAAAGACAGGAAGTAGAAAGAAAGAAAATAGAAGATTTGGAAAAAGCGCATCTTGTAGAGGTTCAGGGCCTACAAGTGCGGGTGAGTAGCCTTCTCAAAGCCACTAAATAATGAGATAGTTTTGCCTGCTGCATGTAGAGGAGAGCTGGTTGAGCTTGATAAATGAAATCTATCTATCTATCTATCTATCTATCTATCTTTCTTTCTTTCTTTCTTTCTTTCTTTCTTTCTTTCTTTCTTTCTTTCTAGATCAGAGATTTGGAAGCTGATGTGTTCAGGCTACTGAAACAAAATGGGACTCAAGTGAACAATAACAACAATATCTTTGAGAGAAGAACATCTCTTGGTGACGTCTCTAAAGGAGACACCATGGAGAACTTGGACATCAAGCAGACATCTTATCAAGATGGCCTAAGTCAAGGTGTGTTTCCCCTTACCAAGAAAGTCACTTTTAATGACTGTCATTTAGACTTGCAGTTTTCTGTTTATAATCTGAACATTCACAAGTTGAGATGTCTTCCTATTGTAGAAAATTAGTCATGAAAATAGGAGTCTACCATTTTAGCTCTATCTTATCAAATATAAATCCTTTAATGTAAATAGCTTTAAAATATCAACTAAAGACAACAAAATGTTACTTTGTTTTGGTACCGTGAATCAAACTCAGGACCTTGCATTTACCAGGCAGATGTTTATACCACTGGGCTATATCCCTGGCCCCAAAATGTTACTTTCAAGCTCTCATAAAATTGATGGGCAGATATCCCATCTAGAATGACCTCCACAACTTGCATATTTTTTGTCAGATTTTATTGATACATTTTATTTTATTTATTTATTTTTTGTATTTATTTAGTACAAGGTCTCACTACAAAGATCGGACTCACAGTGATTCTCCTGTTTTCAGCCTCCCAAGTACTGGGATTTTAGGTGCACACCACCACACCCAGTCAATATCTCAGTCTCAGTGTGCCCTGGGGACAGGGCTAGCACGGCACGCCCAGGAACAAACCCTGGCCACTGCGCTTTGCCTAAGTAGTTGTTTTAGTCCGCTGAGGTATCTAGTCGGTCCTGGTACATTTTAGACATACATAATTGTTATGGTTTATGTCTGTTTGCCCCCTCCAAAGCCTCATGCAGTCATTGGGTGGACTTTTAGAGTTTGTAATTAATTCATGATCCAATGCTGGGATTATGGGTGTGAGGTCTACCGCTGCCTGGGGCGGATAGCCTGAATACAGTGTAAGGGAAGGAAAGAAGCTTGCCAGCTGCTGCAGCCCCTACTCCTCCCGTGCTCTTTGTTGTTTTCCACCACCAGGAACTGCTGCCCTCTGCCGTGTGCTGCTCTGCTTTGGAGCCAGCCAAGTATGGACTGAAACCTCCACAAACTGAGCTAAATAAACCTTTCCTTCCTTCATTTTGGGTGTCAGGTATTTTGTTCCAGCAACGAGAGAAAAGTAACCAAGACAGTATTGAGCACGTTCATCATAAAGTATTTGTACCTGTACGTGATATAAATTTATGCATATGTCTTTTTTTTCTTTTCTTCTTCTTCTTCTTCCTCTTCCTCTTCCTCTTCTTCTTCTTCTCCTTCCTTCCTTCCTTCCTTCTTCCTTCTTCCTTCTTTCTTCTTCCTTCTTCCTTCTTCCTTCTTCCTTCTTCTGTGGAGAGCGTTTGAGATAAGTTCTCATTGTACAATCCAGGCTGGCCTTGAATTCATGGAGTCCTCCTGTCCCAGCCTCCCAAGTTCTGGGGTTTCAGGGGTATCAACACGCCCAGCCACAACTTGCATATTAATGAAAGACACTTGGAACTTTCAGTCCTTAGAAAAAAGAATTTTTTCATAATGTTCACAAAACTGCCTGCCTGCTTCTACCACTTGGAATTTAGTTACTTAAGTAGTTCTGCGGAGTAGGGACATAGCTTGGTGGTAAGGAGAACACTTGCCTAGCACTTCCAAGGCCCTAGGCATTGTAATCGCAGTACTGCCTACACGGACACAAACTTCTGTGTTGTTTCTACCTTGGTGTTCTGTTGTACATTTACTATCTTATTATTTGGACCAAATAAGGTCAGAACTCTGGAACAGATCCAACATCCATACACAAATTACTTACTTCCTCATGTTCCATTCGAAGGCTCTGTGTATAAGACTGCTAATGGTTTAGTATCTATAGTGCTCCTATAAATTACAAAATGTATAAGAACTTGTAAAGATAAATACACAAGAGAATAGAGCACGTTTGGCTTCATCCTTTTAAATACACATACATGCACATGTACATACTTAGAGGAATCTTTGGAAAGTGAAAATAAAATAATCCTCTATGGTAGAATTGTCATGATTGGACTCACACTTCACGAGAAGCAGCTTCACATGTGATAGAGGCCTGCTAATAGTGAACTTCTCTGTTTGTTTGAGGATCCTTCTCATATTAAAATGCTTCCTGTGAGATTGTATTGATAAACAAGTGTTTCTATCCTATCATTAACTATTAGAACTAACCTCCTAGCCATTAAAAATGAGAAGTATTGCAAGTGTTCATTTAAAACTAAAGTGATACCTAGAGATTCGAATCCATCTACCAGATGTCTTTCTGAGTGGTCTTCCCTAAGAGGACATGAATAGTACCTCTCAGGTGGCTGAAGCAGGATAATTTAGTACTACATTGCCACTAAGTAAGGAGCTCTGTGACTTTTGGGAGATGATTTACCTCTCAGAATTGACATATAACATGGAAATACTGATCATTTCTTCCCCACCCTAACGTGTATTTTGAGGGTATACAACTTGATCTAGAAGCTAAAGAAAGTGATTTTATTATTAGAACTTAGGGAATTAAAACTTTTACAACTGAACATAATACAATCAGTATCCAAAAAATATATCAGAAAGCATAGTTGGTTTTTTCCTCACCTTTTTGAATATTTTAACTTTAAAGTTAATTGTAATTTATTATAAATACATGTTCTTGCTCTGGGATTCCCAAATTATTATCAGTAACCACTAGCTTTTCATTATTATTCATTTCTTTCTGTTTAAACACCTGTATTTTGTCAAACATAATTAATAGCATTTATTAAATTATATGACTACAGAAGATCAACAAACTATACTATTAACATGCTGATTTGGATCAAAACCTTACATTTTCTGCTCTGCACCCTTGATTTTACCACATAATTATCAGTTTCCCTAGCAACATTGTCGTTGCCCAGTGAGATGTGGAGACTCCTGATTCTTACTGAAACGCGTCCATGTCGTTGCGGTAGAGATACGGCCGCCCATCTCACGTGTGAGTCACACAGCTATCAAGTGTTGCTCCTACAGTTTTGCTGCCAAGGACAGCGAATGATGAGTCTCCTTGAATTTTAGTTGCTTGATTACATAAACTAAAATGGCTTGGTTAGTGACTAGATAGAATGCTCTGGAAAGTACTTTGCTAAATTGATCCTTTGCTTCTGTTGCTAGGGAACACTGAAGCACAAGGGGTTTAAAAGGAAGAGTGAGGCTGCTGACCAAGCGCAGGCCACGCAGCATGTCAGGACAGCGACCCCACCCCCCTCGCCCCATCTAATGCACGCCACACAGCATGTCAGGACAGCCACCCCACCCTCCGCGCCCCATCTTTGTCCAGCAGGTTAGGTCCAGGACTTGCTTTCAGACCTTCAGTCTCTGCCCTTTTGGGAGAGCTTTGTGATCTTCCTGCCATTTCTGACCTGCTTTTCCAGTGCTGGCAGGCTATGATGAGCAGTTCAGAGTGTTGGGGCACTTGAGATGAAGGTTTATCAGTTACAGAGCAGTGAAAAACTATTAGGATGGAATAGGGTGGGCAAAAAGAGGAATGGGAAGCAACAAGTGGAGGCAGAAGAGGAGAGGAAAGGAAGAGATGATGTACCCGCTGCTTCGTGTGGCCTCATGTTCTCATAGACGAGGGTTTCTGACTGGGGCTAATTATGTGATTGTCAGTTTGGGATATTGCACATTTTTTTACGAAAACACCATTTCCAAAGCCACGCAAAAATTTACCACAGTTCAAATTATGTTTGATCTCCAACACAAGTATTTCTTTCAAATTTTGACAAAGATTATACATTGAATTCCACTACTTTTCTGTGAAGTAAATGCAAGATGTTTTTCACTAGGAATTACAGCAGACCGTGTCTCTTACTGTTCACACCAATATGCTGGTCACATACCATTTTCCACATGCATCAGGACAAGTGACATGCTAGCTTTGTCCTACTGATTAATTTCTTATTGGGACTGTAGTGTTTAAATGATAGGGCTGTATGTGAGTTCTCCAATTGTAGTCAGGGTCACTGCAAGGTCGGGAACGTGTGTTGCTGTCAAAGTGTTCAGTCAGATTAAAATCATAGTGGAAGAAAGGTAGGTTGGAGCGCTCCTGGCAAGCTAAAGGGTTGTGAACTTAGTTGCGGTAGATTTCCTGGCAAAGTCACTGCACTGTAACACTTTCTTCCTGTGCTTCGAGGTACTCTGGGATCCATATAAAGCTACTTTTCACATTCAAGTATCTTAAAGGCTGTTTCGTAGATAAGGCTTATGCACATCCTGTGGAGATACTGAAGGAAAGACGAGGGCTAATAGGTGGAGTCACGTGGAAAGGCAGAGCACTGCTGTCCTCGCAGGGTCGGCACTCAGTCTGATGCTACTTACAAAGTTACTTTCAGCACCAAATATTGCTTCTAGGCACACTAGGTGACATGCTGACTTACAGGGGAAAATGTAAATAGAAAGTAAAGAGGTGTGCAGACGGGAAAGATGAGAGTGAGTGATCAAGAAGGGCAGTGATGAATAAAATTAGAGCGGCGTTCTCCTGCATTCGCAGACCTCCCATGGAGAACAGAGATGTTCAGTGTGGAGTGGGGTGGTCCTGAAGTGAAGCAGGCGGCGCGTCTGAGGACCGGCTGGCACGTGGTTTCGTAGCTCCTTTGATGAACAGTTTTGAGCTACAACCGGAGGGGAGTCACTCTGCGGTTTGTCAACCAATTCAGAGAGACCCCGTGAGGTTTGGTGTCACTGCCAAAAGCTGCTTGTTTCTTGCCCACAACTCAGTCTGTGGACCACTGCTCAGGGAGAATTTCATGTCCTCTTCCCCAGTGTGACCAGGGAGGGTTACGCAGAGTACCTGACAATTTCTTCTCTTTTTAAATATCAACTATTCTGTGTATTAATTGTGGAAGTACAATTAAGGTACCGTATTTAATTTGTCTGGGTTTAGAAAAGTAAAATCACTATAACACAGTAAAATTTATGGTGCGAATGCAAGGATTAAAGACGTATTAAGTGTTTCGTGCCGTACCTGTCACGGAGCTCAGTGCTTATCATCACAGTAGCATCCTGATAGTAATGTGCACATGTCGTGTTGCTTACCCCTTACATCTTTTACATAGATTTCT